GTATCTAGTCGAAGACATTACCCTTCAAAATTGAAAAAATTTCCCTCGTTCCCCGTAAATGGGGGAAACCTCCAAAAAAATTACAAATTTAAAAATCGCTAATTTTCGAAATTTTTTCAATTTTTTTTACTAAAAACTGCCGTAACTTTTTCAAAAATAAACATATCACTATTTTTTATATAGATGCCTGATATTTTTACCTATCATTTGATATATTTTTTTTGTAAATTTGACCCTTTATCTGGCCACAGAGGGGGATATAAAACGACAACTTTTTCACAAAAAATTTACTTTTTCAACATAACTTTTGAAAATGTTCCGGAAGGTCTGACACTTTTATATATATCTTAAATTAAAGCTAATGTAATATACTTTAATTTGAAAAAAAAAAATTTGACCTCTGGACTTGTCTTCACGGCGAAAATGGCTACCGAATGCTATTTTCGTGTGAAAATTCTCGATTTTATTATTTATATAATATTTAACTTTATAATGCTATAACTTATTGAAAAGTTTATGGATCCACACAATTTTTTTATGAGAAATAATATTTTTTAATAAACCCTTTTTCATTTGACATACTTTATCTTTATCGAGATATTAATAAGGAACCAGCAGATCAAGTAGCTTTTGGAATAAAACACCAATTTTTTTTAAATTAAGCACTATCTAAAGATTTGCATCGAAGCGTTTATTTTTGATAGTGATTTTAATCACTGTCAGATATCATTATACTTGATCCAACTATACCACGTCACAACTGTGCCGCGGCCCCCTTGTGCTGGGTTTTTTTTTTTTTATTTTAATAAAAATTTTAAATTGTATTCATAAAAATATGCTTGATGATGTAGTAATTATAAGTAGCTCATAATATTTTATCACATAACATTGATTTATATATTTTTCAAGTAGTTTTTGACTTACACTGGTTGAGTAAATCCATTTTGAAAACATGTTTTTAACAAATTTTATTTTAAAAGGTATTCCTGGTCAGCATACTGGAAGTATAGCGTCCTTGGCTTCCACCAACTACTACGGTTCGACCACATCCGGACCAGAACAACACAGTCCTGCAAAGTACCCAGAAAATGGGCACGACACTCTTTCAGATTTTGTCACTTTTGTGTGTCAGGAGGCTGAGAGTTCTCAAGGAGCACAGGTACATTTTGTTTTATATATTTTAAATATAAGATATTTAAATATAATTTGGTGCTGAAGATTTATTGAAAAAGTTTTTTATACAATGTTATATCATAATTACCAATAAAACCATAATAATAATAAGTTAAATTTCAATATAAAATTTATTTAAATCAAACAAGTATCTGTAGCAAGTGGAAATTCATTAAAGATATATTTTATTTTAAATTTAAAAAATATCTCTGCTAAAAATTTAAGATTTTTTCAACTGTAAATTTTAGAAAAATTCAATTTAGTTTAAAATATTAATTTTATATTTACTTTTGAAAATATTGAACTCAATGTTTTTTAGAAAAATAGCGGAGTTTGAATTTTCTTTTTGTTATTTTTGAAACATTAACAATCTTTCTTTTTTTTTCATAATTTATAATTCTGAATGAATAAAAATAAAAAACTACATAGTTTTATCAATTTGAAAGTAAAATAGATGCTATAATTATTTAGTAATATACCATGTTTAATAAAAAAAATTGTAATTTCATTTTTATTTTTATCCCACGTAGGGATGGGCCTATGGAAATCAGGTTTTTAATTTTTTCTTTTGGTTTTATAATAAATAAATTCTAGATTTTATAATAATTATAGAATTACAATAGATTATAGTTTATGTATGAATTGATACAAAATAAAAATTCAAATAATATGTGTATGCATAGGGAATGAGTTTTTAGCTGAATGCATGAATAATAATAATATAATATACATTGAAAATGTTTTTTGCTATATGTTATTCTAATAGATTTTTATTTATTTTTTATCTCTAAACAGGCCGGTCCTACACGAAGTCCCAAAATGGCTCAATACTATCCTAGCACTATGTTGCCACCACCTCCTCCACCTCCGATGGCCCGTCCAGTAGCCATCATACGATCTACAGGTGAGTTTTAACAAACTATTTATTGAAGAAAATTAATTATGTTAAAATTTAGATTAATAATCATTATATTTTAAAAGTTTATAATTTATAGTGTGTTTAGTAAAAATATAAAATCATTCAAAAACCTAAATTTATATATTAGTACATTATTTGGGTTTAATTTATAATATTACGTAAATTATAATTTTTGTTTAAAAGAACATTATAAAAAAGTAAAAATAAATACTGAGTTTCATAAAATAAAATCAAAATTTATTTTGTATAAATTCACGTATAAAATTCTATATGAAAATGTGTTTCTATTTGATTTATTACTTAATTGTTTTAATGAAAACAGATTTTTCATTACCTTAACAATAAAATTAATAACTAATATATTTTTTATTTTAATGTATAATACAGAAAAGTTTTTAATCATTATTCGATTATAATTTTTTTTTTGTTTCTTTATAAATTTTTAAAATATTTGTGATTATTTAATATTACAATAATTAAAAAATTAAGAATTATAGATCCTAATCACTATTGAACACAATACGTATTCAATAAAAGATACATTTTTCTTATTTAATATTCACTGATAACATTGTTAGATGGAGTGATTGTTCAGCTTTGACTCACGCAATATCATTAAATTTAAAAACATAATTTTTTTTGCAGAAGTTAATAATATCCAAAATTCTATAATTTCCATAAAATTTGATTCTATCCCTCAGTTTTCCTTAAAAATTGTATCAACTTAAGTTTTTTCAATGGGAACATATATGATTCATCAGCATTTTTTTATTTATCTTTTAATTTGATAATTTACCATCCATACAGTAGATGTAATAAATAAAAGATAAAAATATCCAAGTTGATAAAATTTTATGGAAAAAATGGTGCAAAGGAACAATTTTATTTTTTTAAATTATAGAACGTATAATCCTTATAATTTTTAAATAGCACAATGATATTACATCTTATATTTATATAGATATTCCCGGAATTATAGTTAAACAATCACCCTGTATGATATACATATACGGGGTGACGTATATGTATGTATATATGTATATAGATGTTATAATAATAAAACTAGGAAAGAGGGGTCACTTGCAACATTGTATGGTGAGTATCTGGAAATCGATTATAGATTGTGGCATTCTGCCATCGTAATGCAGGCCTTTATGAAGAAAAACGCCGAGTCCAATATTTCTTTTCTAAGTTTATTTTTTATTTCACAATTTTAAATCAATAATGCTCTGAACATTTTCATAACACCGCCAATATAAATATTATGATAGTTACATAAAGCTTATGCATGATTATCATGCTACCTGTATCTTTAAACAGTTCATTTAAAACTATACAACAATTTTACTGTAAAATATTATTTTTTTTTCTAATTTTCTTGGAAAGTATTTCAGCTACTGTTTAATTTTATCTTATAATAGATCAAAACATTTCAATTTTATTATATATTCGTCGTTAAATTCACATTAGAATAATAAAAACATAATACACACCTTTATATATCTACCTACAATTTTTGTCATAATTTCAACGTTGTACAAGAAACAAAATTGATGGTGACTAACAATTGTGTGAAAAAATAGTATTAAATAAATAATATAGTGTAACATTTACATATAAATAAACAGCCCACAACAATACACATATAACAGATAAACATAATGAAACCATGACCAACAAAAAACTTATTCGATACTCTGATATTTGTTTTAATTTAGAGATTTCACAATTTTAATTTACAATTATTGAATTCAATCATATACAAATAAGAAAGTTATTACGTCGTTACATTATTGCAAATATTTTCGCGCTAGCGATAACATTATTTTTGTTAAATATTATTATTCAAATCATATGATATATAATTATTATATAATAAAATTAAAATTAAATATTATAAGTGAATATTGTAAAAAATTACTAATTAGTTTTCATTAATTTAAGTAATTTTTATTTGAAATAGTTTTTAGTTCTAAAATTTTCAACTTGACCTAATATAGATCCTATGGTGTTTTAATTTTAAGGATATTTTTAAATTTTTAGGTGAACTTACAATTGCACCTTCAAATTCGCCTCCAACTTCAAATACATCACCAATGGGCGGCGATGGATCACCTGGTGGTCGAGACTCAGACCATAGCCCTCCACCGATGGGCAGTCAGCTATCTGAAGGTCAACTGTCATCCAGTGGTCGGAGTGTGGTGACCAGCAGCCCTTTCACAGTGGCTTCAAACAGGGACTACCATTTCTCCCATATTCAACACGGCCAGGTACCTTATACGTTCAACTTGCCAGCTCACGATTACAACCCTTCCAACTATTAACGTTTCTTCGTTTTGTGTTTGAATTATAGTTCTTTCTTTTTAAAAGCATATTAATCTTGATATGAATGTGTTAAAGCTTTCATGGATTGATATATCATTATTAATCTTAAAGCAATAGCTTTAAGCTACTTACTATTGTTTTTTTTTTGTTTGTGATATGTTTTGTTCATAGAACTATTGTTACGCATAATATTTTCAACAGGAAAATAAATAGTCGATTAAAAAATGTTTTGATAATATTTTCATAAAAATTAAATATTAAATGAGAATAGTTTATCCAATCATTTTTTGGTTATGCTGAGCATTGCTAATATTATATGAGTTTTGTGTTGAGACTAAATGCTTGGTCAAAATCTATTTAATTATATTTTATTCCGATCACTGAATCGAGTTACTAAATTAAAAAAAATTAACATACAATTTTAGTAATGCTACTTCTATTTAAAATTTCCGCTGACGTATTTTTGTTTTTATTATGAAATGAATATGAAGTTTCGAGACAGACTTTTTTAACTATGTTTAGTTAGATAATTTTTTTTTGCGCATCAGAAATACTTATATTGTACAGAAAATGAATTTTAAAAACTAACCAATGCGATTTTTAATTGGGACATAAAAAATATGTGCCATTTGTTAGATTATTTTACACATATTATTAAAAATATCTTTAAATATATTTATTAAGTGCAATAATGTTAAATATTATATTATTTAGGTTCGCAATAATATTATTATGATGTATATAATTAGTGCATTGTTTTTTATGTATGTCATATAATTTGTGTGTTGACTTTAGGAATTATTACAAAATCTTTTAGGGATAAACTTTGACTAGACTGATAATTTTTGATTTAGTCAAAATGTATTATACTTTTGGAAATTTACAAAAGAATTAAATAATTTTTCACCATGTGGAATGTTTAATACACCTAAGTAGTAGACGTTAAAATATATAACAAAGATGTAGATTCATAAAACACTAAAATAAAATGAAAATATCTGTTGAATGTTTTTTAGCAAATGATTGAATTTTATCAACTCAGACAACTAATTCTAAAAATATAAATCCAATAAATATTACCGTAAGAATTTTTTTTTTGTATTACATTAGTTTAATTATTTAGCTTTAAGAAAATTCCCAAAATACACATTCTAGATAAAACTTTTTAAAATTTACCTTTTTATGTCAATTAATTTGTGGTTTAAAAATATTTTCTGAATCGAATATTTTAAGTAATATTATGACTTCCCCTAAAAAAAATGTTTATTTCAACTGATTATTAAGTACATCAAAATTATTCTACATTTTAAATTTGCAAAATAATTTCTACTTAATTTTGATTTCTAAACTACATGTAATGTAATACAATTGAATACATTACAATGGTATTACACTTTATTTTATTAAAGACATTTGGTCTGAAATAGTTTTAGAAGTAAAAAGAATTTTTAAGCGTGTTATTTTGTGTGATTATATTAGGTAAAATAGTTTTAACACTTCATTCGTATGATTTCATGCCAAGGATGACCACTTTCGGTATCGAGCTTACTTGTTGTAGGTCACATACAGCATGACCAGATTATTTTGCTTTGTCTCTTAGGAACAATCAGAGACAATAAATTGATAAATTACATCAAATTGCTTTTAATGGCATGTTATATTACTCACTAGGTAAAACATTGTCCCTTAGTTAAAACAGTACAAATATGTATACGAATCATTATCTCATTATGATAGAGCATTTTACTTTTACTTTTACAGTTTTTATTTAATTATACTTAAACAATACTATTTGTTCAATAACTGTAAATATTATTGTTTTAAATGTGTACAAAACTAATACATTATTGAAATCCACACTATTTTTGTTTCAATTTAACTTAATAGTCTCAATATCCATTAAGAATTATGACAGTGAAAAAAAATTTAAGTATGCTACATAATTTCATTTTACAAATTTTATACATCTGTATTATTTTTTTAACAAAAACTTAACTATGTCTAGTTTGGTTAAATGTACGCTAATATTTGGTATACTTTACTTTGTGAATATGATATTATATAGTCTTAATAGTGTTGTTTAAATGTTTATTGTACATTTTTTGTTATTGTTTATTGTTTGTTAATAAGTTTTATGTTGAATGCATATTAACTATTCATTTGTTTTTTTATAATTAAACAGTGCTAAGATATAATATTTCTTTTTATAAAATTTATTAATTTTTAAAGCGCCTAAACTCGTATTAAAAATTATCAAACAGTTTAAATCTTATTATAATTCAAAAGGATTTATGAGTTATATTTTTGTAAAAAAATACTATTAAAATAAAAATATTTAGAAAAATTTTTTACTTGCTAATAATCCACAGTATAATACAAATTAAAATTTCTGTATCTTATCTTTATTAAAGATAAAAATGTCATAACTATGAAATATTATGTACGTTTTACTATATTTTCGCAATTTTTTTTATTTTATAATTTGACATTTTATTTTTATTTTTTTATAATTGTAATTGTCATGTATGTTATTAAATTACCAAAGTACTTTTTTGTAAAATTATATATAAATTTATTTATAAATACGAGTATATACAATTATATACAGTAGAATTAGGACCTGTTTTGTGATACTCCTGTGTATATATTATATACCTATACATTATATAAATGCGTATAAATTAAAAAAACAAGTGTAATTTGTTTTAATCCTAAGTTATTATTTTCCTCTTAAATAATACTATAAGTAGACAATTTTATACAAAAATAAGTCCATTGCTCTTCGATTAATCCAGAATCTTAAGAAATAATATTTTGACAATTAGATAAAATTTTATCAATACATAAGCAAGTGTTAATGTCACATAAGTAATGTTCATATTTAAAATAGATTTGTTTAAAACACACCATTTTAATCATTTTAAATATAACTAATGCACTTTTGCTTGTAGTTTTTTTTTAATCTAACCCATTTAACAAGTGTGTAAAGTATATTCAATAATTGTGTCGCGAGAGTGTGTGAAACATGACTAATTCTATTAACAGGTATGTATTTTAATTTAAATCATTGTATCAAACGATTTCGTTTATTTTTTTCTGAATCAATTAATCACTTAATTACTTCATTTTAACTTATTATGAACCCCAAAAAATAATAAGTACAAAAATAAAATTTTTCAACTTTTGATTTATTATTATTGAAAAAAAAAGTTTAATATTAATAAACATTAAAGTTTCAAGCAATGCACTCTTTAAAACTCTAGTTATCTTAAATATCTAATAAATATTTGTATTACATACAAAATTGATTAAGCAGCTTTTTCACATTTATAATATTTATTCTTGTATTGTACAGTTGTTCAGTTATTCAAACTTGGGATCCGTAAATACAGTGTCTGGAGTGATAAGTCCTACCAATTTAAGTCTTTTGACAAACGCTGGCAGTACAAGTCCAACATCAAACCGATCGCGAAGTCATTCACAGACCACATTACCACGATGGAATTCTCAATGTACAACATCACCTTTTATCACACTCGAAGAAGAGTACATGATGACACCTCTAATGACCAGCAGTAACGGTCAGGGCAACGGTGGTTCCCTCATAGATGATGGTAAGAATATTGAAATTATGTAATTAAACATTTTTTTTCGAGTAAAAATCAAATTTAAAATAGGGTGGATACTTTCAACTTTTGTTTCGAAAGAATAAATTGAACCTTATACTGTGCGTTGAATTAAAATTCTTACTCAAGTTAAAGTATTATCAAAGAAGTAATAAGGCAAAAACAATTGGATTACTTTTACAATAACACGCTGTTATAAAAAAATTTTTTTTTGTTTGTTCTATAGACAGATATTTCAATAGTGTAGTTCATCAAACGACCGAAGGGTTAGATCGGATGGATACAAATGAACCTCAACACATTCAATCTTCAAATTCTTGTGGCCGTAACAGTCCCAACGTGACCGATGGCTCTCAAGACAACATAAATAAAACGCAGTCTTGATTTTTAAATTGAAGACAATTGATTAAATATAGGAAATTTATTTTAGTTAATTATTCATGGTTATTATTATTATTATTATTATTATTAAAATAATTATTCTATGGTGCCTATTTTATATAGATACGTGTAAAGAAAATTATAGATTTTTGAATTAAATCAATTTCATTGTTAATTTTAAGGACAATTTTATTATGTTTACTGTTTTTATAAGTCAAAGGCGACGGTAAAATTATTTTAAATTAAGTAATTTTTTTTTAGAAAACATGTCAGCAAATGCATAGATATTGAACACCCCCCCCCCCCAATAACATTAAAATCCTCTAGTCAATAAATTTTTTTGTAATAAATATTACATTTATTAGAAATCGTTTTTTTTATTTCGTTAACTAAATATATATAAATAGAATTTCTTTATTGTTTTCAATGTTGTATAGCATTAAAGTGTAAATTTTCATATAGTTACATATATAGTTAATAAATTAATACACTATTATTTTTCTGTTTTGTTCAGAGCTGTGAAAGTAGTCTTTGAATGTTTTTTATTTTGACCTGTTTTGCTTGAACTTAAATATACATTAAACAGATTTTACTCAGCGATCCATTAAAATATTAAGAACTATTATCGCCGAATATAAAAAAAAATAAAATTTTTTACCTATTATTTTGAGAAAATAAGTCTTATTGGCTGTTAACTTTTATGATGGTACATATTTACAAGGGATATCTTAATAACATTAAAAAAAAATTTTAAATACATTTAATATTATTGGTAATTTTAAAACTTCAGCATAGCATACTATAATATTCTAGCTATACTTTGCTCATATAATCTAATCAGTTTTTTTTTAAATTTCTTAAAAAAATTTTACTCTATTTTAATATTTATGAATTTGTTTTAAAAATTTAATAAGTGTTCTTCAAATAAATATCACTAAAGAAGCAGAGGCGTATTTACATTTTTTCCACCTATAGGCATTTAAAAATTTGCCGCCCTTCATTACGTTATGATGGAGGGAGTTCATTTCTAAATATTTTCGCAATAACACTACTAATTCTTCCTAAAAAAAAAGTATTTAAAAATATTTTTCAAGCAAATCTATTAAATAAAATAAAAAATATTATTAATTTAAAAACTAAAAAATATTAAACTCAAAAGCCACAGAAACTCACTATGAGTTTTTTCTAGTCGGGGTGTCAGTATGTGTTTAGCGTTGATAATGGTAACATTGTTTCCGAGATACGTATCCGCGACTTTTCAGTAATTTTTTGTGGCTTTTAAGTTTAATATTTTTAATATAGTTTTATTTTTATTTAATAGATTAGTCACAAGTGATCAATTTTTATTATATTAAGTAAATATATGTTTATTAATAAATCATAAAATAAATTGCTTGTAACTATTAATATACATATCATAAATACACAATAAATGAAAACGATTATGATAATTATTAGGAAGTCATAACAAAAATAAAAAAATAACTCGCTTATTATACATATGTTGGCCTTCAATNTCATAACAAAAATAAAAAAATAACTCGCTTATTATACATATGTTGGCCTTCAATATTTGCCGCCCCTTAGAATACGCCACTGTAAACAAGAAAGCTTATTTAGATGTATATATGAGAATAGCGTATAATTTTTACGTTTAAGTTAGTTAACTATTTATTAAGTATATAGATTTATATTCATATTCCATAACCTAATGAAAAATAATATTCAAAATAACAGGATTGTTTTAAAAATTTTATTTACAATCATTAAAATTATAAAAAACCTCAAGCTTTTTCCTTGTTCTCGTATCAGGTATAAGTATTATGAATATTAAGATTAATTTGTGATATCGAAATAGAATTATATTGTTAACTGAATTATTTTGAAAACACAAGGATAAATATCACATAATTCGAACAATTATAATTAAAAATGTTTAAATAAATTATCACATTTTAGGATTAACTTTTATGTCCTTAGAAATGTTAAATATAGAAACTATAATAATAATATGATTTTATATTTTAGGAAAACTTAGATGATTATGATATGGGGCAGACAATGAAAAATAAATTAAAAATAGCATTTTAAAATAAACAATTTTGTATTCTTATAATAAATAATTACACATAAAAAAAATACATGTAATAATAAAAATAGTCCTTTTTTAATTTTATCTTATAACTTAAGGTTGATTAACTTACAAAACTAGTTAATACACAAGTACTATTTTTTGTAATAAATTGTACATATTTTGTTAACGAAACCTAAGAACTTCCAAACAAATTATATAAATAAATAACTTTAAAAAAACGGTAACACAGTGGGGTCGAGGCACAGTATAGACGTGGCATAGATGAGATAAGTATAGATGATATCTGACAGTGATTAAAATCACTATCATAAGAAACGCTTCGATGCAAATCTGTAGATAGTGTTTCCTTTAGAGAAATTGGTGAAATATTTTAAAAGCAACATGAACTCTTATTTCTTTAATTATATCCTGATTAGTAGTTCTTTGATTTTAAAATATAATATATGAATAAATACTAATTATAGTTTTTAAATTTAGTATGAAATTGTG